TATTAAAACGCATAGTATTGTATTTCTATTCGTAGTATTTACCTACGTGTGATTGAATGCCCTACTACTGGTTCTCACTTTTTCTCTGTTAACGATATGAATATCGACTTTGATGATAAAAAATATATATATTTTATTAAATTAACGTTATTTATAGCTTCTGTTACTGATAAATAATTCAAAATTTTCTTTTCCAAAACGCTTTCAAAATCACCGTGTATATAGGAGATAACACAGGTCAACAAAATTTTTACCCAGAAACCAAAGTATAGTTATTAGTAGGATTTTGGGTGCGCTGAATCCAAATCCGGCTGCAGAATTGCTCTATCACGTCAGGTTTTTGAGATATTCTAGCCTAAAAGTGCAAAAAACGCCATTCTTGCCAATTTTTGAAGTAATGTAACTCTTCAAATTTTATTATGCCCAAAAAAAGTACATAAGGTATCTTAAAGTTTAAGTCTTCAGCTTTCAAATGACGTTGAGTTTGCTTTTTTTCACCTCAAAACCAATCAAATACTGCCCATCCCGAGTTAGCAAACCTTTCAGTTAAAGGCTACAAGCCTTTAAACTAAGCAAACCCTGTTCACTACTATCTCAGCAAGAAAAAAGATATTTGAGAATAACCTGAAGGAACCTGAAATATATCCTGAAGGATGGTACGGTTGATCTGTCGGGCATGCCACCGTCCTGGCGAATCAATCACGCATATTATTCCTGGTTGTTCTCGTCTTGTTAACTGATTGTTGATATCGCCGTTCCTCATGACGAGAATCTCGTGAAAGTTGAAAAAGAAAAACAATTAAAATAATATAATAATATAATATATTTCACACACACACACATCCGATCCGATAGCCGTATTTGCTCACGGATTGAGAGACAAACACCTTAAGAGGCTCAAGTTGGACGGCTGGATCAAGGGTCTGATGCAGAAGGCAGTCTTCCTTGACACGGCTCGTATAGTGAGGAGGTTCCTATCTTAGGAGTCCTAATCACCGGTCCTGGTCCCTGTACCCGATGTCGGTGGTCTACTATTTTTAAATGTATTTTTATTTTTCTGTAATATATTTAAAAATGTAATTAATATGTATATATAATTTAATAAAGAGAATAATAATAAATTTATTTACAAAACAATTATACATAGAAGTTTACAGTAAATGTTTACAGGACAATTTTAGGCGTCGGTAAGATCGAAATATCCATGTTCAATTAGTGAAAAACCCTGCCTTTTAAACGAGGTTTAAAGGCTATATGGAAGAGCTGTCACTAGCGTCTTGAGCGTCCCAGCATCCGGACTTATGGAAAGTAAATAAAATAATACAGATCTCGCAGTTTATAGCTGCGCACCACTGCAAGTGCCGACGTCGAGTTGCGTCGATGTTTCGCCCACTGGAGTAAACAGGACAGGTGACATTATCGTCCTTGCTCGTACTTTGGAGACTATTGCGCATGGGCACATTTTTTTGTTTTTACCGTTACCCACGAGTTAATAAAGTAAAATAAAATAATAGTGAACTAATTAGTCGTAGTCGCTCACTATCTAAAAAATAATAATTCAGTTTCTATAGTTTACATTGATATCACATAAAACGATTCCTGGTGCGTAATACCTCGTAATAGTCTCCAGCGTACACCCGAATACAGCATACAGTCCAATAGTGGTTCACATCTTAACCTTACTCTCTTGCCTGACGACTATCCACAGAAGAATGTGTCTAGCCGCAAAAGAAAAACGCCAGATTCGCACATATGTATAACGAACTAAGGCAAGAGTTAACAAATTCCCTGGCTAGTGATCGCCGTGAGTTAAGAGACGCCTTTTCGAATTCCAACAAAACGTTATGGCATCTTTTGAAAGTCTTTGAACAAGCGATACGAAAAGAAGTTGCAGCAAGACTATAATTCCATGAAAACTGAAATTTCAGACATAAAACAATCGATTGACAACTTACAGCATGAACTCTCTGTGTAGACAAGTTTCAAAGTAGGTAAATCAACCTACTTTGAAACTTGTCTACACAGAGAGTGGAAAGTGTAAGTACAAAAGCAGTTGTTAACGGCTTACAAGAAAAACTCATTTTAGCTAAGGTTCTTATCACTAAACTTTCCGAACAGTTACGCGTAAGAGAACAGGAGGGCAGGAGAAATAATCTCGAAATCTTTGGGATCCCATTAATTAATAAAAATGAAAATCTTTTCAACATTCTGCATCGTATTAGTGTCAAAGTTCGTTTCTTATTGAGTGCTACGGATATCGACTACATCCATCGAGTAAGGCGCTTCTCATCAAAAGAAATCCTACGAGGCAGAGAGGAATCAGCCCGTGAAGACATCCACCATAACTAACATAATTGTAAGGTTCACACAGCGCAACGAAAATGTGAATTACTGGCCGCTGCATGCGACCGCCGCGGGCTAACAACAGCTGACCTAGATATTGACGGCGTATCAACACCTGTTTTTATTAATGATCATCTTTCGCCTCAAAATAAACTTCTATATCAGCAAGTATAGTATAGTAGTCAGGGTCACTAACCACTAGAGGAGTTCGAGTTTTAATTAATTAATTATATTATAATTATCATTGGACTAGACTACAGGATATTTTAATCTTACATGTAAAAATTAATTGCTGTTCGTAAGTCTTACCAACTAAAATTCGGGAATGGCTGGAACGATTTGGCTAATTTTAGTCTGTAAATATTTGGGAAAGTCCAGGGGAAGTTAAAACGGTGAGAAAATGTGACAAAAAATGCGAGGAAAAACAAGAATTTTATTTTCTCCTACAAAATGTTTCTTTATGTCAAACATTTGATGTCGTCGTGCGTCGGTATGATAACATCGGATCTCTTTAAATTAAAGAACATTATCTAGGGGATTTCGAATCGAGAACATCTAATTAATTAAATTATAATAAACATTAAATTAAATTTGTCCGTGTGGTGACGGATTAAGAATACGGATTGTCACCACCCCCGATCATCCCGTTGGTGTCGGAAGAGCCGACTAAGGGAGCAAACTACGCAAGACAACAATACTGCAAAGAGAAGGAAATCTTGACACAAACCCTATACCAACCCGTCTGGCCAGCGTGGTATAGTAGGCCAAAGCCTCCTTTTTAAGGAGAGGCCTATGTCCAGCAGTGGACTGTTAAAGGCTGTTGATGATGATGATGATGATGAAACATTAAATTATACGACCGGATGGTGTAGTGGTTTGTGTAACGGACTGCTATTCCAAAGGTCGCTCAAGTCAAACATTTGTGTGCATGAACATTTAATGTTTGATTTGGTCTGGGTGTTTCTGTGTATAATATGTATGTATTTACAAAAAAAGAAGTATATATATGTATTTATATCAATTGTCTAGTACCCATAGTACAAGCTCTGCTTAGTTTGGGACTAGGCAACAAAATAAATTAAAAAAAATACACAGTATTCGAATAATCGTGTATTCGAATATTGTCACCATGAAAAGGGATCATATTTATTGATTATCAAACACAAAACATGGGTGCGTTAAGAAATTTATTTTATGATTTAGAAAAATATGCCAAGCTAAATGAAACATTCAGAAATCTTTCATAATATAATGATGTAGAGACTGTTTGTTTGTTTGTCCTCTCAGGAACAAGGTAACGATTCGATTTAAAAAAAACATTGTGTTGGATAGACCAGGGAAAATGTATCCTAATTTTTTTGAGAGACGCAAAACAAGTTGTCTCTCAGCTGTCTTAAATTAATAATTTGAAATTGTTAATGATTCGGTATACCCAGTGTGAGTGTTTACAAAATAAATGTTCAGGTAAGATAACAATTTCGAAAAGTTCCCATACTATTCAATAAATCGAAGAATATTTTGGGGACTGGCCTCATTATTTGCAAATCGCCTCAAAAACTGCAATATATAAAAATGCATACTAGTATATGATTCGGTTCAGTGAAATGTTTATTCAATAATTCACATTGTTCATTTCAAGTAATGTTAAGGCTTTTGCAGAATCATTAGATGAGTGACTTCGGCTTTAATGCAATTTGGTATGTAAAATTTCCAATTTCAATTAATTTGTGAAATTGCCAAAACGAGCTTTATACTACCTATCTTTGATTTGACGTACCTACAGATAAACGTACATTTATACAAATACAAACACTTTTTATTGTTTATTTATTCCATTTCCTCATCTCTTGTCATACAAATTTGAACAATTTATTATTTTTGTGGTAGATAGAGTATTTATTGAGGAAGGTATAGGATATTTGATGTCACTTGATGTTACGTAATAATGCAATTTATGGCTAGTATTAGCTAAGTACAAAACACAAAGTAAATCGATTTTAATAAAAGAAAATTGATTTATTTTGCTTTAGCTTATTTGCATAAGCTTATTTTAATTAAAAAAAGCCATAGATTGTGATATAAATGTCATGCATTTTAAAATTTAAAACTTTTAGTGTTATTCTATAATGAGCTGCAATATATAAATTAATATTATCTATTAATATTTACGTTATTCTCAAACAATACATAAACACATAGCACGTATTTAGATATTCTAATACAACGGATTCTATGCTACAGATACCCACCGAATTAAGCACTTATTGTAGTTTAGAAACGTAATATTAGAGGCCTTGTGGAGGAAGTAGATTGGTTACATTTCTATTGGAGGAAGAATGAAATGTATTTCACTTTGATAAATATGAAACGGTACGATATATATGCATTTATAGACGTCTTTTTATCTCAGTTTTATGTACGCATTATTACTTATAATTCCATTAGAATATCATGTTAACATATTGCTTAAATCTATTCTATAAAAATGAAAATTGAATTTGTAGAACTCATAAACCAAGCCAGTGAGAACTTAACTTTATTGGAACAAAGCCTATTGTGAGAAATCTTGTGTGGAAGAAATCTTTTCGACTGTGATTCTTATTCTCGAAGGCCCTGTCAAAGAAAGACGAATAAAAATACAAATAGCTTCCATCAAAATGGTATATGCATAGTAAGTGTTTTTTTACAATTTTATTGTCTTTTACTGTATTACCTAGCCTATTTAGTAAGGTATTGTAACTAAAAAAGGAAACGAATAAAAACACCATTTGAAAAGCAAAATTTAAAATAGGCATGTGACTCACTTGCTTATTTTAAATTTTCTACTTTATTTATTAAAACTTTAATAAATGCACGAATTTAAAAGAAAAATAGAAAACTTTTTTAATAAACCAACATATTTTCATGAAATCATGGTCACCTTCCACAAAGTTAAGTAGTTTTTTTTTTTTTTTTTAAATGCTATGTGTCCATCGCGCGGTAACTTTTTATTTAGTATTAAATCAAATTGTATCAAATTCAAAGATATTATTAAACCCTATGCCGAATACTTACCCCGATTACAATAATATAATAATACTATTTATTTATTCACTAAACTTACAAATACAAATAAAACACACAAGTATACTATAGCTATAAGGATCGATGGTATGTTCCATATTAAGCTCTGCCTCTAAAACTAGGTTTAACCTGTATATCAAGAGGCAGTGTTCGACTTTTTAGGTTACTAACATGGACGTGTAAAAAAAGTCGGACGGAACTCCCGCTAAGACAAAACTGAAACATCGTATTGGCGGCAGCTCTTTGTCTCCGAATGAAATTGGGGTTGCCAAGTTACCCTTTATGCCCTAAAAACGTAGTCGATTAATAAAAATATTTTATTTGTTCGAAATTTTGTAGTTTCTACTGTTTCATGTCCCAAATACTATTTTTTTTAAATGTAATAATGTCTTTTACCTACTTTAAGTTTCTTGAAATTTCTTTTATTTTCGAGATGTGGTTAAAATGAATCGTAAAATATTTTTCCGTTTTAAATTTAATACGACCTATTTTGTGTTTTATTCCGGCAAACGTATATTCGGATTCTTAGTTTAAAAAATGCTTTCATTGCCAACAAACTTTTCTAGAATTTTTGTTTTGTCTTTCATTTCACAATTACAATTTCTAATTATTTGAATCCATTAATTTCTCCATACTCCCTTTTTCTTAGAAAATCTAGTAAAAAGAATATGAAATAAAATATCTAGTGGTAATCGTTAAATTAATAACCTTAATAAATTGATTTTAATAATAAACCTAAAATTGCCTATATGTCGGGTAATTTACACGCGTGAAAATTGGCAACACTGTGAATGATGAAATAATGAATTCTTTGGTTCTAGCGAATGCTGATTGATTTTGTATAAAATCCCGAAATAAGTGATTGAATTGTTCATTTATCTATGAAACATGATTCCTGGGTTTTTTTCTTTCGGTCAGTACGGTTTTTACAGCATTTCACCTCGCAAAATATGTTGTAAATTTATATTTTTGCGCGTAATGCATCTCGCCATCCCAATGTTTGCGCGCGTAGAGGCTGACGAATGTGTGTAAGTGTGTGTGTGTGTATGAGTGACACAGTTTTTTGTTAGCGAGACTATGTCAAACTTTTTTATACGTCCATCGTTACAAATAAAAAATATTAATACAACAGCACAACTGTTTCATTATTATTAAACAACTCAACGTATTTATGTTTCAATTTTTGAATAAATTTAAACATGTTTGTGTGTATATATGTGTGTGAGCATATGTATATATTTTTCCGCCATAGGATTAAATGGTTTGACTGTGTGAAATGTGGAGGACAGCGCTATCTAGTATTGAAAGTACATCTATTAAGATTGTAGTTAATACGAGTGGTTCTGATCCTTACAGCGCTAGACGGCGCTGCAAGTAACGCTTGACTGATTCTGGAAAATTCGTGCTTGTTTGGAACGGACTGTCAAATACTAGGAACTTTCTAGTAAAATTCAAAAGCGCAATAAAAGCGGAGCGTGTTGGCAGTTCGACACAGTTTAGTTTTACGACGCGGCGAATTAACATCGGAGTGAATTTCTAGTGCGACTAACAAGATATATAGTGATTCCTAGTAGTGAGTGTTTGTAAATACAGTGAAATAAAGTAATTAACCGACAACTTTTATTTATTATATACCCCGCTCGTAACAATTTGGTGTCAGTGGGATAAAAGTATACCGGTTTTACCCAAAGAAGACACGGAAGGCATCCGATCGAGAAACCAGCGCCAGCAAGAGGCTGACCATAAGCGATTGTACGGTGCACAACTGCCTACATTGGAGGGTCAGCAACCAGCAATAGAAGCCACTTCGTCAACATTGTCAGCGGCTCCAGATATCACTGCCCTAATGATGATGCTCCAAGAGCAAGTCCGCCGTCAGGAGAAGCAGGCCCGCCGCTTAGAAGAGCAGCTACTTTTGTTAAAAGGCATTCATGAGACCTTTGGCAAAGAACTCAAGGTAGTGAATGATTAGGTTCTTCAATACGAGAACAGTCCAAGTTCGGGTTCAATACAGAACTGTAACCCAGATTGCAGACGTGGAGAAGGGCTTAGGGAACATCACACTCACTCAACGGGACGGCGATTACGGTAACTGCTGCTCCTTCGGTGCGAGGGTTCAAAGTGCCGCCATTTGATAGATCATCTTCGTGGTCAGCCTACAAGATCCAGTTTGAGGCTGTTATGATGGCAAATGGCTGGACTAAGGCCCAGGCTATGATCGCGCTCACCTTGGTTCTCCGAGATCAGGCCTTACCGTCCTCGAAGCCCTCGGTAAGCAGGTAACGTATGACCAACTGCTGGAAGCATTGGAGGCAAGATATCGTGACGCTCACCTGGAACACGTGTTTCGTGCGCAACTGAAGGATCGTGCCCAACGCGTCGGTGAAAACTTGCAACGCAACGCATACTCGTCCGAGGCGAACAGAAGTTGGGCAACCAATAACGTCATTGTGGCTGATATAGTTGACGACTGCATCCTTGGCCTAGACTTCATGAGGATGTTTTGTCAGATCGACATTAAGCAAGGTGTAATAAGATGTAGTCAAGAAGAACTGTTCATGGAGGGGGCATTATCTGGAAAAGTGTACAGCTTAAGGAAAGTTGTTCTCCCACCCAGATCAGAAACAATCGTGCCAGTTAGTCTTCCTCATAACTCTGGACAATTGCATCGGTGTGTACTTATTGAAAGGTTAGATAATGACTTTCCATGGAAAATCGCACAAACTCTAGTAAGTACCGCTAACACCTCTGCAGTACGTGTGTTAAAGTGACAGGTAACATAAGGAAACACTAAATGGCACTTGCGGAGATGTGGATTAGATGCGTCACGATACTGCAAATATTAGCAAAGATGCACAAATCAACGTGTCAGCACTTTTGGAAGGCTGTCGAGATGTTTTGTCTATGGAAGAAATAGACGAGGCTAAGAGGATGTTAGTTAAGGACGCCGATATTTTCTTTCCTATGATGCTGATATCAAAAAGACTGGTTTAGTTCAACACACAATTAATACCAGGAATGAGTTGCCTATTCGTCAGCGACCAAGAAGGTTACCGGTAGCACGAGAAAAGGAGGTGGAATACTTGATTGATTGAATGATGAGGGACGGCGTTATAGAGCCTTCAGGCAGCCCATGGTGTTCACCTGTAGTGCTCATAAAGAAAAAGGATGGCAGCGTGCGTTTTTGTGTTGACTACCAATGTTTGAACGACATTACAAAAAAGGACAGCCACCCATTACCAAGATTAGATGACACACTGCACATGCTAACAGGGGTAAAGTGGTTTAGCACCTAAGATTTGAAAAGTGGATACTGGCAGGTAGAAATCGATCCCAAGGACAAGGAGAAGACTGCGTTTTCTACAGGGAAGGGACTGTGGCAGTTCAAAGTTATGCCCTTTGGATTATGTTACGCGCCAGCAACTTTTGAAAGACTGTTGGAGCTAGTACTTACCGGATTAACTGGAGACGCCTGTTTGGTCTATTTAGATGGCATTATCATCGTTTCAAGAACATATTCGAAACCTGGAATGCGTGTTATCGAAAATCCGAAGCGCCAACCTAAAGTTAAGTCCTAAAAAATGATAATTTTTCAAAACTGCAAGTAAGCTTTGGGGTGCATTGAAATTGTACAATCTTGTGTGTGGGAGAGGATTGCAATAGACGTAGCGGGGCCGTTTCCTGAAAGTGATAGCGGAAACAAGTACTTCATGGTTGTAATGGATTATTTCACTAAGTGAGCGAAGTCTTCTTAACCAAGAGGCTTTTTGCAGATAAATTGGTGCACTAAGTCTTCTGTCGTTTTGGAGTGCCTTTAGAAATTCACAGCGTCCAAGGAAGAAATTTTGAGTCTCAAATATTTCAAGAGATATGTCGAGTGATGGGTGCTCACAAAACTAGAACTACTTCTTATCACCCATAATCGGACGGAATGGTGGAACGATTTAACTAAACACTGGAGACGTATCTGGCAAAAGTTGTGGCAAGTAGGCAAAGAGATTGGGACAAACACATCCAACCGTTTCTTCTGTCATACCGAAGTGCAGTCCACGAAAGTACTTCAGTTACACCAGCTTTCGCAAACTTCGAAAGAGAACTACGGTTGCCCGCAGATTTGATCACTGGAATACCCCTTGACGCCCCGCGCAGTATGACAGAGTACGCGAATGACTTGATTGATTTGATCAACAAGATGAATGAAATCTATGAGAATGTCAGACAATCAGGCCAAAAGATGTCGGAGAAGATGAAAACCCGTTATGACTGGAAAGTGAACAATAAGGGCTTCGAAGAAAGTTCGCTAGTGTGGCCATATAATCATGTTCGCAGTAAAGGGAGATCTTTGAAGCTACAAGCCAAATGGGATGGACCATACCGAGTGGTGACGAAAAGCAATGATGTCACCTACCGGATACAAAAGTGTCCAAGAAGCGCCCCTAAGATAGTTCATGTGGATCGATTGGCACGATACTATAGAACCGATAATGCTCGGGACGAGCATATCCTAGGAGGGGGCAATGTTGCGCCATAGGATTAAATGGTTCGAATTAAACGTTGACTCTGTAGTTACATATTTTTATAATATTCTATCCTCACTAATAGACAAAT